TCATTTCCAAATCAAGAACAAAATTCTCTAAGGAGATGATACTAACATTTCCAAATCAAGAACAAAATTCTCTAAGGAGATGATACTAAAATGGTAGTATCAATTATTGCAAAAGTGAAAAAAGTTCTATTTTTTAACAATATTAATATGTATGTTATCGGATTTTAACTCGATTTATATAGTTTGATATATGAATATATATTTATAAGTAGTTAGGTTTATAATGCAGTTGATAAAAAAAAAAGTTAGAAATTTTGAATTTGTTGAGTTGTCGTGAGAGGAATCATGTAAACATAAGCCCTCGTTTACCCGTATGAACTCAAATGATTTTTACACTTTTTTTTCTTTTTTTAATAACTCATGGTAAATTTCAAACCTATGGAAGAGACTAATCTCTGAAGAAGGGTAAATACTACTTTTTATATACATGGTATATGTTTTATTTCTTTTTGATAACTTTCAAGTTCGGGACCGAAGTCCATATATATTTTTGTGGATTCCAAACTAGAGAGTCGATGATACCATGACACGGCATTAATCATTTTTCCGAAAGAAATAGAACTGGCTTACTGCCAGGGACAACACAATAATGCTTAATAAATTTAGAGATCCTATGCATATCTAAAGAAAATTGGCCCTTCATTCATAATTTCTTTTAAAAAATTGGCTCTTTAATTTAAAAAATTTGGCTTAATACTTTTCCAAAAATATTGGGCCATGGCATTTGCTCATCATGTCAAGAGCCGCCCCCTTGCTTACTGCACTAACTAGTAGACCATTACACTTTGTACATGACATACGCTAGAGGAACTTTTAACTCTTGGTTTATGTGTGCCTCACGCCTATTTCATATGGTTTAAAGACATTGGAAGATCCACAAAACGAAAAAAGCATAATCTTGATATTTACTGAAGTAAAGTACATAGCTCAGATATCACATGCATATCATTCGTAGTTGCTCACTACACTCAACTCTCCTTATGATTACACACAAGGCAAAGTTTATGTTCTCTGCCAAAGCCAAAAGTCTTTGCCAAAGCTTCCAGGTCACAAATTCTCTAAGCCTAATTAAGCAGGCCTTATTCAGGAATGATTAGGGCCGGGTCACAAACAAAATAACAAAAGAAACCTATAATTTAGTCATTTGGATGGTAAACAAGTTTCTTTTCTCAATTATACATGTGTTTTTCTTATTTAGTGAAGCCCATAGATTTTGACCCAAAAAAAAAGTGAAGCCCATAGATACCGAGTTTTTAAAAATATTTTAAAATATAAGATTATAAATATTATATTATTTAAAGGGAAGAAACTTTCAGAACCAAATGATGCATCTGCGAACTCACCAGACATCATTATCGGCCGGACATACGGACAGGGGCGGATCTAGAAATTTTTAGGATTGGGGGTAAATATATGAAACATTAAATTTTTAGTAAACAAAAATATTATATATATTCAGCATACAATTTTCATCAAAAAAATTAAGAAAAAAATGATTTTTTCGTATTTTGTATCTTCAATATATTTGAATAACTTGAGTTAAGAAAACAAATTAGAAATCAATTGTAGTTTTGAAAAATCAGTACATAATGAATCTAATAATATCATAAAATCCTTTATATATTAATTGGAAATTTTTTAAAAGAGCTTATGTGTCCTCACCAAATTCATTCTTACACTTTTAACGTGACATGGCATACAAAAAAATGTGACATGGCATTATCCATCAATTTAGCTCATTAATCCTAACTAAATTAGCCCAAATACAATAAGAAAATCGTTAGCCCAAATACAATAAGAAAATCGGCCAACAAACACAATTAAACATAATCTTCACTATATATAATGAATCACGGCCAAATATTTTTTGATATCAATCCAATAGGCTCTCAAACTGATTTTCCGATTTTCTTGATTTTGTTGTTTTCTTCAAAATGGAATTTCCATCGAAGGTAAAAGAGAATTTTTTCCGTCAGATCAATTTTTTGTAGTTTTGGTTTTTTTTTATTATATAGAGGATATCATTTCAGGGACATCCAACCCAAGCAATTTTAAG